TGCTGATGCTGAAGCCAGTACAGACTTATTGGAATCCTTTGTAACTCATTGATGTTTTTAATTTCACTTTTAAGTGGGCCATGATCTCATTTGGGAATTAATTTGATTCACAGGAACTTGTTGTTGGTCAGTAATAAATTGTCAATATTTCGGTAAGTAAGGGATATTAATCCAATTCAAATGGCATGTACATGTGTAGAAATGTGGTATCCATCAATCAACGACCAGAAATGTGCTTGTCAATAAGTGAACCATTAAAAAGTCGACCTGGGTATAGAATGCAGACAAACCAGTAAGATGGCGAGTGACGCTCCTTTTCTCTACTTACATATAGGGGGTGTATATTTTTACTGACCTGAGATTTGATTGCCACCAACTAACTCACAAGTCGGCTGCGAGTAAATTAACTCAACACTCGAATAGCTTCGGCTTCGGCTGGGTTATAGAGCAGGAAATAAACACAACGGATCTGTCACTAAAATAAATCAGTTGAACAATAAAATAGACGAAAAACGTCTGAATAGCAAAATAGCGATACCTGGGCGTGAAGACACAGTATTTCGCAAAGAGTTGGGTTTTTTTTATCATGACACGCGGACCTCGGAGAAAGCAACCTCTCTGGGTAAGGAGGGGATTGATATAGAATGGCGAGCGAAACAAAGCGTGTTTTCATTGTGAAAAACCCAAATAGCAAACTAAGTACTAAACCAAAACGGAAGATGTAAGTACCAAATAAAGCGCTAAACATAAGCAGTCCAACAGTTCCACTAAAGATTTACCCCAAAAATGACCATAAAAACACGAATAATATCGACCAGTTCTAGATAATCGTGCTACTGTGTGAAAATCAAAGATACTAAAACATTTTCATACATGGATAAGGTAACAAACATACATAAGATAACATATATCAAATCAATACTTGATAAAAGTATGCGATTAAAATAAAATGCGCTAGATAATATAATTTTCGGGTCACCAATTACAATGGATGTAAAGCAACTGGACAACGACGACCGCTGGAGTTTGCCGAACGGTGACGACGCCGGAGAGGGAAGCGGTATGGTCATTAGACTGGTTTTACGACCCGGTGACAGTCGTATACATTTTACGCTGTATTTAGCAATACTCCAGATCTCTCGCGGCACTGTTATAAGGCATCTTCCCGAGGCAAGAGCGCCCACTAGCCTTTTAATCAAAGTCTTGGCACATCAAGCACATTTTCATGTGTTAAATATGATTGGACTATCGCAAATATCAATAGTCCAATCAGAGAACGTTTCACAAAACAACATCCACATGTTCGCACGTAAGTGATTTACCGCTGCCTGTCTTTGTTGACACGAATGTGTCTTTTTTTCACCCCAGCGATTGCCTATGATTATCTGTCTGTCACGGATGAAATCGCGAATGTTTTCGTTATCTGACCGACTAGTTCGTCACAGTCGCCATCGCTGTGAAGCCATACGAGATAAGAACAGCGATCTGATTGGATATCGCGTTTTCATTACAAGGGGGACAAGTCATGAACAACGCGTGGTGGCGCCAGGGTCGAGCCTGGTCGAGGGTAGAAACTAGGCCTTGATCTAGGCTGTTGGACACGCTTGCCACGGGAAGTTGGCTATAAGGTTTCTCGACGGCATTTCGGCTGAGTACTTAATCTGCTAAGCTACCTACCCTACTACCTTAGTTTGTGAAATCGCCAGAGGAAGATGTCTGGTATGTAACTCCATGAAGTTACGTATTGTGTTTATTGAACTTGTTGATACCTTTTTAGTGTTATACTTCTATGACAGTTATATAAAGTCTCATGATAACAGAAATGCTAACCTTTCATTGGGTCACTCTGTTGAAAGCAGAGTACGTTGTGGGATTCCGACCATATCATAAGCATGTGTATATGAATCACTATCACTAAGTTTTCCTGTCCCTTAGTTATTGGTTTAAAATGTGTCATTAGACTATAAGATTCCACAGGGAACTATCAGGATGCTAACTTATGCAAGCCGAGATTATTGATTATATGATATTTGATACTGATTCATAGAAAAAGGTATTTATTTATTTATTTATTCGTTCGTTTGTTCGTTCGTTCATTTATTCATATATTTATTTATTTTCATTCACTCATCATCATTATGATTATGTACAGATCAAAATACAAAATGCAGCAAAGAGGGTTTGGGTGATCCTGGCACAGTCAGGCTGGTTAGGCTCATAATCAGCTCAGGGCCCTTGCCCCCTCTACACGCAGCCCAGACAGCGAATGGGACTTCTCCCAGGAAGCACTGCCTTGTCGAACCCACCCGGAACGGAGAATATGTCGAGTCCCCAACACTGCAGCCTTCTGCATTACTCAGATTGTCAGAACAGCTGTATTACTGGGAGCAAACCTTGGCACGCTCCCAATGTCAATGAAAAGATTGGAAGGTACACTGAGAACAATTCGGAGTCGGCCAGCTTGGTACTTGGGATGCAAGCTTGACATTTCGAAAGCGAGGTCCTCATATTTGCCATGTTTTTCCTCAATCTTACCAATCACATAAGTGTGAAAAGGGACAGAAAATTCAATGACATAAATGATTTCATTGGATTTATCAAAAAGGACAAAATCAGGTTTGTTGGCCTGGATACGTCTGAGGCTGTAAATGGGCCTATTCCAAAGAATTTTGTATTTATCATTTTTCCATGACGCCCTCAACATATTCTGGGTCGTACAAACCACAAGCATGGCGAAGACGGTAATAAAATTATCGAGCCACCCCATTTTATATTTACATTTTGATGCAAAATCACACATTGACGGTTTCGAGTGGGAAGTGACTTGTCCTGAGGAGCAAACAGAAATCCTTCTGTTTCACTTTTCAGGCCAGCCGACTTCATCCAAGCGAAGGATTCTGCAGGGTTGCTGGGCTTCTCAATACACTGCACATATACTCGATGGAGTGGTCGTTCAGATAGCCTCTCCTTAAAAAGTTGAGTCTGGGTCGATTTGAAATGGCACTTCGCTTGGATGACACTCATTTCTGTACCGTGTCAGGCAGTACATTATTATTATTATTATTATTATTATTATTATTATTATTATTATCATTATTATTAATCTTTAGGATGAAACTTATTTTCCCACTGAGCAGAGTTCCAAGGTTCATGTTTCGACGCGGTCTTGGGCTAGCTTAGATGTAAACTTGTACACCATCCTTTCACAAGGGGATCTGCCCTTCTTTATTGACGCGGTCTCATTTAGCCTGCAGGAAAAATCAACTTATGGTTATGGTTGTGGTGGTTAAATGTTCGGATGAAAACCGCTGATAAATAGCCTTTATTCCTTTATTCCTCAATTTCTGCACATGTGTAAATGCTGACATTGTCATAACGACTTCAAACGGTGACAGTGTCTGACATCAAATGCTTGCTCACGAGAATAACATTGAGTGCGGATATATTAATTTTTTAATGATAATTCAAAAGGTAGTGCATTTATTGGGGCTATAATGTCACACCTGCATAAATTCAGGACAATACCACCACATACAGTGTACTCAGATGCATTGGACAATGTCGATGTGTATCTAAGCCATTATCTGAAGCTGTTGTAAGGCAAGGTAATGTGTTGTGTCCCGAACATTCACAAGCACCTCGTGGTTAAATCATGTTTTGCAATATTCAAGGCCATGTTAATGCTTTCAAAACGTTTCACGCTTGACATTTGGTGGGCATTTCCAAATTTGACGCATCAGCGATAAAAATTATATCTGACGCAGTTCCCTATTTTGACTTCTACGATATGATCCCGTGTTTCATAGTCGGAATCGTGCAATCGACTCTGTTTTTAGCAGAGATTTCTTATGAATAAGGAAGAGGACTTGTCACTTTTATTTTAAGCAATAAATTTAACAATGTGTTTGAAAGAAACCGTATTAAAGTAGTGACGGGTTTTTTCATAGGAAAAAGGGAAAATTTGATAATCAGTCTTGTGCAGTGATGCCAACAAATCATGTACTTTTCCAAGTACATGCAAGTATTTAAAAAACGATTGGTCACATGGATGTTTTCACAATACGCAAATTGTCTTTAAAATTCAGTTTGAAAATAGTAAAACATATTTGTTGAACAATGTATCTAAGTTTTCAATAATAAATCAAACAGAGTCCTCTTGGTAAATACAATTTATGCACTGTTCTATGAGAGAATACTAAGTAAGGATAAAGTATAGGGATGAACAACTTCTTATTACAATTAGGAGCGACGTTTCGGTGTAGGTTCTGACACGGTTGGCAAGCAAGTGTATTGGAACAAGAAAGTTGTTCACTTGCTTGATAACGGTGTTAGAAATCATAATTGTAAAGAAGTTGTTCATCCATATATCTTTATCTTACTTAGTACTCCAGCTTCTAAATGCCTCTCAAAGACGTTACGAGAGAGTATTTTACACAAGATACAAGAAAAGAAAAAGTAACTAAAAATTTAATACTGGAGCTAATTTACAGTTAGGTGAATATCAGACATGTATATACAAAGTGACATACGTTGTTTCAAGATATTCAAGCAGGTTAAATTGCCATTTCAGGATGCGACAAAATAAACTCAACTTTCTCAACATCATAAAAAGACATGAACCGTATATTATTTGTGTGCATTTGTTAAAAAGGCGGTTTCTTTCATCAGAGCATCAAGGACAGTGCAATAAATCTTTACAATAAAAGCATTTTCTCTCAGATAAAAGACATCGGTTATAGTGGAGCAGTACCAAATCTAAAAAGTGTCATTGCCTTTCATTGAGATCGGACTATGTAATATTGCACATTAAATTCGGTTTATGCACTGTATTGTTGTAAATTGTAAATAATCTGTCCTACTTCCTACTCATGATACAGTTTGAGTCGTACAATCGACTTTGAAAGATGTTTTATGAATATTTAAAGGGTTTTGTCGCTTGTTTAAATATATGTATAATGATCTCCACAGACCAAAGTCTTATGTATATTTTAAACGCCTACCTGAAATACTGCCTGGGGTTCCATACGACGCCGGATATGTCTTACCGCTGTGGTACAAGCAATTGTAGTGACGAGAAACTTGATGGGCGGGAGCTTCCATCTTACTAAGGATTCACATGCAGGACACCTACGAAGAAATGATTATTGGAGAACTATCCGAGTTTCTGTCAAAAGGGTGTATTTATACATTCAACTAATGATATTCATATAACTTACATAATCTGCAATTTCTGTTTGATTTGGTGGGGAAATGTGGAAACATATATGCTGAATTTGTTTCATTGGCTTATGAAAACGGTCAACTGCCTTTTATGGTCAATATATTTTGCATAAGGTTTAGTCCATATATATACCATTTGACATGGGAAACGAGTGCATCCCCTCATCTACATGAGTGTGAGACTTCGTGTATGTACCCAACCAACCATGAAAAGAAACACTCGTTTCTGTCTAGTCTTGCTGAATAATCAAATAGAAACTATATAAAATAATACACATGGCTCTAAAATTTACAATCAAGGTTTTCAAGTCTTGGTGCTAACTTTTACACGTCGCTTTTCAACATGGCGTGCGATGCTGTCCCACACTATGACCATTTCATGTAGTTTTCACATCTCCCTACTCAATAGGACTGGTCAACCAGGCGGACAGATAGATTACTTAAGTCTCACCTCAACATATGATACAAACAAAAAATATACGAGATAAAATACATCAGAATGCTGAGCCGTTCCATGCGGAACTTCGAGAGAATACTAAGTAAGGATAAAGTATAGGGATGGACAACTTCTTATTACAATTAGGAGCGACGTTTCGGTGTAGGTTCTGACACGGTTGGCAAGCAAGTGTATTGGAACAAGGAAGTTGTTCACTTGCTTGATAACGGTGTTAGAAATCATAATTGTAAAGAAGTTGTTCATCGATATATCTTAATCTTACTTAGTACTCCAGCTTCTAAATGCCTCTCAAAGACGTTACGAGAGAGTATTTTACATAAGAAACAAGAAAAGAAAAAGTAACTAAAAATTAAATACTGGAGCTAATTTACAGTTAGGTGAATATCAGACATGTATATACAAAGTGACATACGTTTTTTCAAGATATTCAAGCAGGTTAAATTGCCATTTCAGGATGCGACAAAATAAACTCAACTTTCTCAACATCATAAAAAGACATGAACCGTATATTATTTGTGTTCATTTGTTAAAAAGGCGGTATCTTTCATCAGAGCATCAAGGACAGTGCAATAAAATCTTTACAATAATTCTCTTAGATAAAAGACATCGCTCACTGATTTGGAACCAATTAGATATAAGATTTGTTACTTGTGACAAAACAAAAGGGTTGTGTATTTACATTTTTAATGTGCACGGTAAAGGTCAGAAATGTTTACATGTACTCTTAAATTCTAATTTCGTTTCTTTTGTTGAGCAAAAGCGTTACTCCACATAAAAATGTTAGTAGTTTCAATTTCGAGCTAACTTACACAAAAGCCTATTTTATGCGTGAAATATTATGAGTACCTCATATTGCAACACTTTATTCAATAGTAGACCATACCATAGACTGACAAAGCTTAGAATAGGTTTGATACTGCACATCACCCAGGAGTTTATAGTTTGTGCAAAGCAACCCAAGGACTCTGCTCGCTGAATTTGCCACGGATGGACATACGAGCATAATCAAAATGCTCAGTTACAAGCAAACCTAATTAATTATAGCAACCAACATTTTCTAACTTAACATCTCAAAATGAAAACAAAACATTAGTTCTCACCACCGAAGGACCTCTAAAATGCAATAACTGACATGCCACTATTTATAGTCATTTAGTTTGAAACACACCAGTCAAGTAGACAATCGAACAAAATATTCAGCTCGTTTTTACTTACAGCTATTAAAACAAAATCGTCTGCATAAGATCATTGATGTACCGATTAAAAAGTAAGGGACATAACAAACAGCCCTGTTGTAAACCACGTTGTACATCACACCAGCGTGCGTAGGCTACAGAACATTTAATATTTCCATTTATCCCCTATTGGGACGTCGTTCGATTTTTTCTCGAAATTAGTGAATGAATGAACGAACGAACGAACGAACCATGCAGGACCAGTTTTTGTCTTTAGGAGACATGCCATTATACAAAGGATAATATAAGAATAACGTGTCATTACATGCATAAAAGCAAGATTGGTACATATAATTTTAAAATCACAAAGGAGCCCTTCCCCACATGCACCACACATATATATATATATATATATATATATGTGCGCATACGTAAGCACATATATATCCCTCGAACAGGGCACATGCCCATTCCATACATTTCACCTTAGCATGCATGCCCACATACACAAAGATTTGGGCATGCACGTGCACACACGCACACACGCACACACACACGCACACAATTTAGCGTTAACTCACACGTACATATATATACGCAAATTCAGCACACACCTAAACGTGCTCGCATCCCTACACACATGTAGATATACATGAATATCCCTACATACATATGCAGACACATAAGCACATATACACACATGCATAAATGCATATCTCCATACGTTGGTTCTAAGGTTACATTTAAAGGCAATCCACATATTTATTCATATACCCGATTACATATTATACATATTCAAATAAACAGATATTGTACCTTCATACAGTCACATAACATGTATAACATACATACATACATACATACATACATACATACATACATACATACATACATACATACATGAAAAACCCATATATAAAATTCACCAATTTTGCTAAGCAAACAAATAGGCTTAAACGAGACAGGCTAGCATTACATAATAGATGAAACTGCATGACCGATAAAGAGAACATTGTACTTATTTATAATAAAATTTTCTGCGAGCACGCATTTTAAACACATTTTACCTTTCGATGATATACCGGCGTTGGGATTGTTTGGAATAGTCATATCATACCATGAATACAGTTCATAGAAAATAATTTGTTAAATCACTGTAGCGGATATCGTTGTTGACTGGATACACAAGGAGAAAGTGTTTTCCGTCTTCAGGAGTGTCAACACAGAATGTACAATAACGTCTATGAGCCGGGATACCTAGCCTGTCGGTTTTAACGTCTAGCTTCATAGAACCAGAACGAAGGGAGGCGAGAACAGATCTTTTGTAGGGCGGGAGGTTTACATAATATTCTGCACAGAGATCTCATTTAAAAGTAATTATAAGTTCTAAGTTGGGCATTGACTGAAGTCCTTTTCCTCCACCTGGTTTTACGAATATTCCGCACCAGGTTGGAGAGTTATCATTGGAACACGTTAAGTCACACACATTTTTAAAACAATTAAGTCTTTACTGTCTCAGGATTTCCCGTGAGTTTACAACCATCTATGGGCACACTACACAAACCAGAGCAATATGCTAGGACACACAAATATCTTCTTCGTTATTCTTCTGTTTGGAGTCTTGCATGTCAGTACGTCAGCATGACAACTGTGTGCAGGTTAAGCTACTCCAACTCGTTAAGTGATACAGATTAACCAGATTATGATTATGTTTATAAGTTGTGTTTGATCTGTGTCGGGTTACGTGCGTTCTATTAGCAAAGATTTAGCGTAGTTTTCTCAATGATATAGAATGTAGGAACTTTAGTGAAGACTTATCAAAATCCTTCAACCTTTGAGTTTGTTTTGCATTATTTTCATTAAATACAGTGTTAAAACACATTAAATAGATTAAACTTCTCTATAACCTGAGTGTAATCTCACATAATCTATGTTTTCTGGTCTGTTCCACTTTAATATAAGGTAAACACGTAACTATTACTTGACAGACCAACCTTGACTAATCCTGGTCTGAGCAGACTGACAACTGGGGCATCTGGCATTTAGGAGGTTACCGTCGGTCATGCAGGTGCCTTGCTCATTCCGGATTAAGAGGGTGGGGTGGGGGGCGTCTCCAAAGCAAAGAGTAAATAATTCAGGGTTCACCAAATTAGCTACATAGCTTACAAGAGCGTATACATTAATGTTTATCACAATTTATTTTCATTATTTTTCATTACAATATCCATATACAAATATACCCTCAAATTGGCAAGGTGATTATATATATGTTGCTAGTCAGTAGGAATATTTCAGGGCGATTCTTTCAGTCCCTTGTCACTCAATCCTTGAAGCATTTTGCTTATCAAAGTGGAAGGTTATCATCATGGACCTCCTCAGCACAGATCACCAACACCTCTTACTCACCGCCTTCAAATGGATGACCTTGACGTTATTGCCAGTGGAGGATCCACACTAAAAAACATATTCTCATTGTCGAGTCCCTTTTTATGATATCGGAGTCCTTTTGCGACATCTTCATCTGAAACGTGGCAAGATAGAAGGGAGAAGATCAGTAAATTTACTTGGGGGAGGAGTTATTGACAATCTCGTGGGAGGTCAGGCCTATACGTACTTAGGGATGCAGGATATGAACAAACTCCAGAATGCCCATATCAAGGAAAACCTTCGGGCAGAGTACAAGTGTAGACATAAGAAAATCTGGAGTTCAGAGCTGAAGGCCCGCAATATAGTCAAAGCCACAAATACTTCTGCTGTACCCGTCCTTTCCTATTCTTTTGGTGTTGTTGATTGGACGAAACAAGACATTCAGGGTATTTACAAACTCACACGAAACATCATGTCAGACAGTAGACCCCACCACCCGCGCTGTTTCCCCAATGCCTTATTTTTACCAATTTTCATGGGAGGGCGTTGTTTCATTAACGCGGAGGCTCTTCATGATAGAGTTATATTGTGCACTTTTGCACACATTTATTTGTCTAATGGTCCTCTTTTGAAGCATGCCAAGACTCAAGATGGAAACAAGGCATTCCACAGTTTTCTTCAACGAGTTCAAGGATGTGGGACAATAATCTCAATGTCAATGGATATGGATTCTGGGCCTACTTTTAAAAGTATGTAAATGGGCCAACCATCACATTCGATACTTCCACAAGGCATCAACAGGTATACTCTCACGCTTCTTTTTTACACACATAGAGTTTTCTTTATCCGCCTCAGGAGATTACTTTACCTATTTGTAGGATCTCAGGAGACTGCTTATCTGTTTTGAT